GGGGTGGGTGCCCGCCTGGGTGGGTGCAGTGCCTGGGGGTGCCTGGGCGGGCCCCTGCAGGAGCGAGTGGCTGACAGCATGTCCGAGCTTCACCCCCACGGGCTCCTGCAGGTGTTTCAGAGCCTCCCCCTCTTCCTCCTCCTCCTCATGCCCTAATATCGGGTCTGAAACTCCCCCTTTTCAACCCAAATTTATGCCTTTTCATCACCTCCCCCCAACGCTGTGCCCAGTGCCTGCATAGTCCTGAACTGACCAAATTGAATAGGAAACCCCCCGAGCTGGCCAGCCCGGCCCCCACCTGAGCCCCCTGCCGTGCAGCCTTGAGCCCCCTGCACACCGCAGGCAACTTGGTTCCCAGAGCTTGGGCAGCACCACCTGACCATTAGTATATTTGACTTTTATTTAGACAACGGTTACATAGAAGGGAAGGAGCTGGACAATTTTTTTCATCATCTCCTGGAGAAACTGGGACCAGCAGTAAGTACTGCGCCGTGTTGGCTGTGCATCGTGTCCGAGTAAAAAGGCCATTACGTTGAGAGGTGATTTGTGTTTGTTCTTCCCTGATTGCTGGCTCCCTTAGCAATCCCTGGGGTAAAGAGCTTTCTCCTGGCAGCAAGGTGGCGTTTAAGCAGGTAGGGCAACAAGTGCAATCACCTGAGAAGTTTGATGGTTTGCTTTCAGTCCAACAGCTGCTGTCACGGTCCGACTGCAGTTGGCACCAGCTGAAGGGGCTGGTTGGAAGCATGGAGAGAAAGTAATTTACTGCCGCTGAAAAGAAACGTATGAAAAAGCACCGGCACACAGCCTGGCAGGGCAAGGGGGAGCACAATGGTGATGATTTATTCAAGCGAGTGCTGATTAGTTTTGTTAATGTGATAGGTTTCTTTCCAAGGTCAATTTTTAACAAATATACTGTCATTAATTTTAAATGACGCTTAGGAAGAAGACATATGTCTTGTATCGCCGAAAATGGCTGGAAGCCAAACAGGAGTCAATTCTGTCGCTCCTATGGGCAAGACCTGGCTCTCAAGTGTTTCTGGGTTTCTCCCCTGGTTTCCCTTCCTATTTTTGGCAGCATTTCCCCTTCTCTCACTCTCTGACTCCCTGTTGCATGACAGTTTACAGGGGCTGGCTTCCTCAGCTCCAGCTCATACGCTGCTTTTTGCCTGTCACCTTCAGCAAAGGAGAAATCCTGCCACTCAGGTCAGCTGCTCGGACATACATAAAGAATATAGTCTCATAACAGGCTTAATATTTTTGCTACACAGCATGTGCCCAATTAGGAAGAGAAAAGGAGTAAGTGTCTTCCAAACGGAAGGAGAGGGTGTGCCGAAAGCCAGAGATAAAACAATTCCTTTAAGCAAAAAAGTAATTAGCAGAAAGGGAAAAGGCGGCCGATAAAAGGCATAAATTCATGAGTATCAAGTGTAAAATCAGAATTATACTTACAAGCCAGTTAGGATTCTTTGATCTTTGGGGCTACAATAAAAAAACAGAAGCTGTGAATAATTTTTCAAGCATGTTCTTGTTTAATTTGCAAGTAAATTTGGATTGACGTATTGGCAGTTTCTGCAGAATTGTCTTCCTAGAGCACGGATGGTTAGATGAACAGATAGGCACATAAAAAGTCTTTAAAGCAAATCAAAAAAGATTCAGCGATAAGTGCTAAGGATCGTTAGGGGGACAGAAAAACTGGTTTGAAGGGAAATTGAAAAGCTCATGGCCAGGAACAAAAGATGAAGCTGGGAGCTGCTCATCTCAGGGTATCGAAACACCAGCGCAAAGCACGCTCAAATGAACCCAACGACAGCGAAGGCAAGGTCTTGACAGAGGGGCTTAAAACAGCAGCTGTAGCTGCTGACAAAGCCCAAGTTTAGCCGGGGATCTCACACCACAGACGGCTTCCTAATGACGAGAGGTCAAGAGGAAACTTCCAGCCCCACTCTAGCCCATAGCTGCCCCGGCACATCCCTCATGTGAGATTGTGGAGACTGCGTCGCACCCGCTGGGTTACGAAGCCGGTGTGTTGCAGCAGTTTTTGTGGTCTTGCTAATGTGGCTGTGAACTTTATTATACCGTGTTAGGTATCCGCAGCACACAGAACATACAAAATGAGGGTGTTCTAGCAATGAACTATTCTGCTTCGAGAAATCAGGAACTGTTTCCCTGATTGCCAAAAGTCACTGCTCAGAGGACTCCAGTTTAAACCTGGTTTTCTGTCCTGGTTTTCTTGCCTATTTTTGGTAGTGTTTCCCCTCAGGCAGTATTACCCAGAGTGATAAAACAACATGTTGCCTTGTTCCCATTTGCCAGCTGTCTGGTTTTGGTCCTCACGGTTGTGTAGGGACAAAACGGTCTCCTAAAGTCTGCCTCAGTGGCAGGAAACCCAAGGGGAGCTTGGTCCTGGGAGACGGAGAGCAGTCCCCTGCCCTGCTCCCCTAGGTATGGGCATTAAACAAAAGTCTCTTCTGCCTTTGTACAATGAGTATGTCTAAAAAAATTGAGCCCTTTTTCTCCTCTTTCACATGATTTATGTTGTGCAGGCTTGTGGTTTTAGTGGGAGGGGTAAAGGATCCCCTTTGCACTGGTTTTCGCCATCCTATGGAAAGTAAGCGTCTTTCATGGTCGGAGCAGGGAGCTGGGACTGAGCAGCTCCCTGCGTTAGTGCTCAGTTTGACCTTTACTTCTTCGGGCTCTTAACGTTTCTGTTTCCTTGCACAGTAAAAGGGGGAGACAGTAATATGCTGGCATAACTTCCAGGTGTGTCACAAGGATTAATTAGTGACTGTGTCTGAAGTGCTATACAAGTGATAAATAATGTTATCAGCACTGGAAGTTGTCTCTGCTTGAATAGCAAACGGCTTCATAATTATATTTTTTCAGCCTGCCCTCTCTAAGCTGTTATTTTTCTTAATGATCACTGTAGTCCTTCAGCTCTGTTTTTCTTCCCAGCTACTCTGAAGCATCCCCAGCTGACACTAAATGCCAGGGGATGGGAGCAGCTGGGAAAACAATGCAAAAGGGAGCCCGGCGGGAAGCTGCGAGGCACAGCTCTTCCTGATGGCTCTGAGCGAGGAAGGAAACTTGAAATACCATCCAGCGAGGGAGGCTAATTCATCATCTTATACTGAACCATCAAGTTTTGTTTTGGGTTTTTCTTTTGGGGGTGGGAGGAATTTGCAACAAAAGTAGACTTACAATGAACCCACCCAAATCCCAGATGCTGCTTTCTGTCTCTCCTCCTCCAGTCATCATCTTATACTGAACCATCAAGTTTTGTTTGGGGTTTTTCTTTTGGGGGCGGGAGGAATTTGCAACAAAAGTAGACTTAAAATGAACCCACCCAAATCCCAGATGTCTCTCCTCCTCCAACAATGGGCGATTGCTGGAGGCATTTGGGCAATGCCCTTAAGAATGTGCTTTAACTTTAATACTTCAGGCTCAGGTCAGGCGGTTGGACTAGATGATCATTGTGGCTCCCTTCTAACTGAAATAGTCTATCCTATCCCATCCTATTCCATTCCATTCCATTCCATTCCATTCCATTCCATTCCATTTCTAAGAAAATGCCTTCAATTTCCAGGTGTGTGTTACATATCCATAAGGCTTCAGTGAAATACAGGGGATTTAAACTGCTAAAGTTTATATAAATGCTCCGTCAGCTGGAGGGGCTTCTGTGGCTGGGTTTGTTTGGGGGATATGAGGCAGAAGCAAAGATAATTCAGCCACACACCAGCACAGGTTTGTGCATGCTGGCATTGCCCATCTGCTGCCGTGATTACCCCTATGACTTCTCTCCAACCATTTGAGCCTCCAGCTTCCAACCTGCTGCTGCATGGCTGCCATGAGCTGCCTGTGCTCTCTTCTGCTCACTCATAAACCTCTTTCTTCTACATTATGGACACCTTCCCATGCATTTTCTAAAAGTTTTTATACAGAGGTGAAAACTTAAGTGAAAAGGACAGTTTCTTTCAGCACTGAAAAAGTAATTTTATTGGAACAGGAACTGTTCCAGCCCCTGCCTTTCTCTCTTATATTGCTCTACACCTTTCTTTCTGTATAGACATCATTTAGGATCTTCCTTGCTTGCTCTTTGCTATAGTTTTAATGAAGCTCTATGTATGTCCTCGTAATAATTGAACAAGAAGAGTTTTATAGGTGAATGGCTATAAATTGTGGGTTTGGATTACTGAAAGTTTCCGTAAAACCCATGATGTCTGAGCAGACACGGAGGGAAATGCACATTGCCATTATGCTTGCAGGATTTCACAGAAAGGTACTTCACTTTGCTTACATTATACTAAAACTGGACAGAAGACTTTCAGATAAAAGTCGATTGCCCTTGCCTCACTGCAAGTGTGCAAGGGGCTGTGTGTAAAAAATTCTGAAGTGTAAATTTGATCAGGCAAGACAGGTATCAGCTTCGTTATAATCCCCCTGCCCCCAAACCACCTGGATAGCCATGACTGGAAGAGACTGAAGTTAATCTTCAGGAGCTCACTCTGAATGGCCATAAAGGATTTCTCTTTGCTTTTTACTTCCAAAGAAGATGAGCAGCCTCCAGCTACACTTGCACTTCGTCCTTGCCTTGCACAATGTATTGTCTATCTAAACTATGTTTTTAGTTTAGTATGGTCAGGAATGCAGCAGCTAGTCATTCGAACAAAGTTTAGTGGCCAAAATATGAGCCAGCCTCAAAGCCATCCAAGCCAGACTTCCCCTGTGTTTTACCACCACAATAGACCCAGGGTCACAGACTGGGTCTCTGGTGACCAGCAGTCAACAGCAAGACAACCCCTAGCAGAAAGCATTCGTCTTGCATCTCCCTCCAGACTAATTTGGAATTCTAAACCCTGAGTTGATCCTGATGGCTTATTTAGATATAAGAAAGAATTTCTTTACTGTGAGGGTGGTGAGACACTGGAACAGGTTGCACAGAGAAGCTGTGGATGCCCTCTCCCTGGAGGTGTTCAGTGCCATGTTGGACAGGGCTTTGAAAAACCTCATTTAGTGGAAGGTGTCCCTGCCCATGGCAGGGGGGTTGGACTAGATGATCTTTAAGATCCCTTCCAACCCAAACGATTGTATGATTCTGATTATTGCCAAATACAGTTATTTCTTTAGGTGTGGCTTTTGTCAGCCTTGATTAGCCTGATCAGTTCCTATTCCTGTTCCTGCACATTAAGGCAGGGCACTGCAAGCACCTGGAAGTATTTCTAAATGCAAACTCAACATGCCTATGGGCAAAACCAGACACAATTTGTTTTCGTTGCCCACAGGCATGTCAAAAAACTTCCAGTCTAGCAGAAAGAGCAGAACAAAGAACCTGTCCAAAGCCTACCCACAGAACTGTGATGGCAGAGGGAAGGCTGTAATAGCCTTTGTTGGATGCTGGTGTCTTCTACATGATAAATATTTCCCGCATATGTGCTGATGAGAGCTAAAAAAAGAACCAAAACACAACGTGGTATGACAGG